TAACAGTGATTTTCATTGGGTCACTAATTACTGTCAGATCGTCATTATTAAAGTCTGGTCTCCTAACAGTGATTTTCATTGGGTCACTAATTACTGTCAGATCGTAGATAAATAAAACTGAGTAAACTGAAGTATTTTGGAAATGTAAAGAGATGTTAAAGATGGCGTGGAGAAGATCAGTCTTCACATGTATTCTCCATGTTATGGGCTTCATTTACGGAGAGGGGGGGGGGGGGTGTGTGTTGACCTGCTGCCCACCATTATGCCACAATAAGCGACTAATTAGGTAAGGATTTTATGAAATTAGACAAGATGCAGACATCACAGCTTAACTGTAAACCTTAACTGTTAACTGTCAGCACAGGAGTCTGCTTGGAGTCAGCACGGGAGTCTGCTTGGAGTCAGCAGGGGAGTCTGCTTGTAGTAAGCATGGGAGTCTGCTTGTAGTAAGCACGGGAGTCTGCTTGTAGTCAGTACGGGAGTCTGCTTGTAGTCAGCACGTGAGTCTGCTTGTAGTCAGCACGCGAGTCTGCTTGTAGTCAGCACGGAAGTCTGTCCTGACAGCCCAAATGTCTCTTTTATTTATTTGACAATCAGTAAATTCATGCTTCTTCTTTTTCTTCTTCTTCTTCTTCGATCCTTTTGTCAGAAAACTTATATCAGAATGCCGGTGGCCTTCATGAAAGCTATCGTGCAGTCCATATCTCCTTGTGTATCATACAGCTTTGTCTTCATTGTGGTTGGAACTGGCCAGATTGCTTTTTGTTGATTCCTGAGAATTTTATGAACAAAATGTTTCTGTTTTTCGAACTCTTATTTCATCATTGTGGATATTTTGTGTGTGTAGATGTCATCAGAGCTGGCGTATGAAGCATCTGATGAGGCTTCTGAGAATGAACTGTTGGAGAGGAGCTTGTCCGTGTGGAAGGGCTGGACCTCCATAGAATGGGAGGATTTTGCTCCAACAGCGCTGGATATTCATACAGCTTGCAGTATTGGTCACTATGAATGGGTGCGCTCCATTATTCTCAAGTAGGTTCATTTCTACAGTAGACTGTTCTTTGTTCTCATATGTATGTATTTGTTCTCTTTACTGTTTTATTATTCTCTTGTATATTTACTTTTACAGTTGACTGCTATGTTATTCTCCAGTATGTTAGTTTGTGCAGTTGACTTACTTACTTACTTACTTACTTAGTCGCTCCTCTTCTACCTTGGGGTGTAGAGGTTTGCCAGAGAGATCGCCAGACGTCTCTATCAGCAGTTTTCTTTCTGGCTTTGTTCCATTCCAGTCCTCTGTCAGTTAGGGACTGTCGGATGTTGTCTTCCCAGCGCACCCTGGGTCGTCCTGGAGGTCTGGTTCCCTGGTTCTTAGCCTCCCATGCTTGCCATGGTGGCCGATTTTCTCCCATTCTGCATACATGTCCAAACCATCGTAACTGTGACTGATCTACTCGGGTTACTAAGGGCTGGGTATCAAGATCTTGACGTATTGTCTGATTGCGGACTTTGTCCCTTCTTGCCACTTGGACCACCTTTCTCAGGTATCTCATTTCTGAGGCCTGCAGCTGGCTTCTGTGAGCTGTTGTCATTGCCCATGACTCACACCCATAGGTCAGGACTGGTACATAGGTAGAGCGGTAAACAGCCATTTTCGTCCTCTTGTCAATTTCTCTTTTGCTAAGAAACCCTCGGTTTATGGCCTGGAAGAGTCTCCCAGCAGCTGCTTTTCGTGTAGCCAGCTCAGTCTTAATGCCTCCATTTTGGTCTAATACAACTCCAAGGTATTTGAACTGGTTAACCTGCTCCAACGCATACTGTTCCATCATGATCTGGTGTTTCTTCTCCTCTCTTGAGATCACCATGGTTTTAGTTTTGGAGACACTGATGGTCATCCCTTTCTTTTCAAGCTCTTCCTTCCAGACAAGTAAGTTGGACTGAAGGTGTGCCTCTGATTTAGCTATCAGGGCCACATCGTCTGCAAAAGCCAGCTCTGATATACAGATTGGTCTCATCTTCCAGTACCCTACAGAGTACTTCTTTGTCTTCTCCTTACAGGTCTTGATGACATCATCCATCATAAGAATGAAGAGGTAAGGTGAGAGAATATCACCTTGTCTAACACCGATGGCAGTCTTGAATTCTTCTGACTTTTGGTCTGCTGTTCTTACATAATTTCTGCACTTTTTGTAGAAACTGTATTGCACTGATCAGGGGTGCTGGGATGTTTTTTCCCTGCCAAGCAGTCCCAGAGCTTGTTCCAGGGTTCCTTGTCAAATGCCTTTTCCAGATCCAAAAAACATAAGTGCATCTCACTCTTATATTCCAGGGCTTTTTCACTCATCTGTCTCAGTGTGAAGATAAGGTCTTGAGTACTTCGGTTTGCTCTGAAGCCGCATTGGGCCTCGTCCAGCTGTGGCTCTACCAGACTTCTAAGTCTCTGCTCAAGAATTCTAGAGTAACTTTTACCGGGAACGCTGAGGAGGGATATGCCTCTGTGGTTTTCACATTGTCTGTTATCACCTTTTTTAAATATAGGTATAATGATGGCAATCTCCCAATCTTTTGGTATAGTTTTGCTACACCAGGCTGCCTGGAGAACCTTCAGTAGAAGGCGCTCACCTTTGACTCCCAAAAATTTGACCATCTCTGGTGTTATACCATCATGACCTGCTGCTTTTCCCAGCTTAATCTTCTCAATAGCTGCCTTCAATTCTTCCATCCTGATGTTATCTTCCCCATGATTGAATTCCTTCTCAGCAGTGAGGGCCATTATTTCTGGGTCATGACTTCCCTCAACGCCGAGGAGCTCTGAGAAGTGTTCTTTCCATCTGCCCATGATATCATTTGTAGAAGTAAGCAGAGCCCCTTCCTTGTCTTTTATGAATTTAAGTGGGCACTCTTTCTCCTTCCTCATGTTCTTAAGGGTCTTGTAGAACAGTTTTTGGTTTTCTCTTGCATTCTTTTCCAACTTTTCTCCAAACTCTTCCCATGATTTCTGTTTTGCTTTAAGCACAATATTTTTGGTCTCTGTTCTGAGTGCCACATATTGTTTATATTTTTCTATTTCTTCAGCTGTGTTCCTGGCTGCCAGGTATTGCTTCCATGCCCTTTTCTTTTCTCCTATTTTCAATTTGACTTCTTCTTTCCACCAAGGTGTCCTGTGTCCCCGCCTTCCACTTGGGACTTCACCACATGCTTCTACTGCAGCTGCTGTGAGGATATTCTTGAATCTGCACCAGAGGGTTTCAGTGTCCTCTGATGATTCTTCTTCAGTTCCTATTGCTTTCACTATAAGCTCCTGGTATCTAGCCTTAATATCTGGCTCTCTTAGCTTGTATGCTTTAATCCTCATCCCTTCTTGGTTGCTTGGTTTCTTGCATGGTTGTCGGTGTTGCCTTGTTGGAGCAGTTCTTTCAGTTGTTTTCTTTATTGTGACCAGATAGTGGTCACTTCCAATCTCTGGTCCTCTCATGACTCTGGCATCTCTCACAAACTTGAATGAACTTTTCCTAACTATGGCGTAGTCAATGATTGATTTTTCATTCTTTGAAGGTTCACATCTTGTGTATGCATGTATACGCTTGTGGGGGAATTTTGTGTTTGTAATGACAAGGTTCTGTTCCCTGCAGAATCTGAGAAGTCGCTTGCCATTATCATTCAAAACATCTTCACCATATCTCCCGATCACTCCGCCCAATCTAGAGTGATCATTTCCTACTCTGGCATTTAGATCTCCTAGGAGGATAATTTCATCGTGACAGTCATCTATGGTCCTTTGGAGCAGTTCAAAGAATTCTTCTTTAACATCTACTCGCTCATCTTCATTTGGCCCGTACACAATGACAAAATTGACAATTTTATCTTCTTCTTTCAGATCTAACACCATTATTCGCTTTGAGATGAATTTCCATCCCTTCATGTTACTAACTTGATTCCTGGCCACAATACAGCCAACACCTCCCTTGGCTCTCTCCGTCATAGGGACACCACTGTAGAGCAGCATACTTCCATCGTGATCTGTGATTCCTTGCCCCTTTTTCTTGGTTTCAGTCAGAGCCAAGACTCCTAATTTTGCTTTCCTCATCTCCCCTACTAACTCGTTTTCTTTTCCGTTAATGCCTCTTATATTCCATGTTCCATAAATCGTAGTCCGTAAGCCATGCCAGTTCGTGTGCAGTTGACTGTTGTATTATTTTCAAGAATGGCAGTACAATTTTCTATTCTATTATTTTCAGATATGGTCATTTCTGCAATTATTATGTTATTTTTAAGTAGGTTTGTACAGTTTACTATTTTGTTATTCTCGAATATGTTGATTTCTACAGTTGACTTTCTGTTATTCTCAGGTGTGTTCATTTCTACAATTGACTGTTCTGTTATTCTCAAATACGTTCATTTCTACAATTGACTGTTCTGTTATTCTCAAATATGTTAATTTCTACAGTTGACTGTTCTGTTATTCTCAGATATGTTCATTTCTACAGTTAACTGTTCTGTTATTCTCAAATATCTTCATTTTACATTTGACTGTTTCATTATTTAAATAATGTAGACAAAAAAAAAAATACACTGCACAATTTATTGCCGGGCATATTTCACCGTATCTCGTCAGGGGCATTGCTACAGACTTAAATCAACATATAATGTAGCATAAAAATAGAACCTTTTCGCTGAAATAAAAAACAAAACGAATTAAAAATAAAACATATTGTCAAGTTAGACCGTACATCTCTCCCCTGGAAATTCAAGATCAGCTACATGATTACCATGAAAATTTTAAATATCACATGATCTTTTTGCTTACATAAAAGAGGAGAATTTATTTTTATTTATACGGCTTATCGTGGGGCCAGGAGAACAGGATACAGGGATGATCGCTTGAGCAATCCCATTAAGACACATTGAGGTTTTGATGCACATGCACAAGTAATTTAGTGTATTTGTGTTTTCTAGACAAATGATTAATTGACTTTGTTAAAAATCCAGCCTGGTTTAATCTGTTGAAATGACTTTCTAGGGGTGAAGACCCAGCTTTGGACAGAAGGAACCACGGAGGATGGACCCCACTGATGTACGCCTGCTACATCGGGCATGACAACATTGTCAACCTGCTCATCAATGCAGGCTGCAACATGAACATGAAGAACTCACGAGGGCACACTCCGCTGATGCTGGCTGCCAGCTGCGGCAACGAGAGTGTGGCCCGGACTCTAGTCAGGGTAAACTGTTTTACATATGTTCACTAGAATACAACCATCTCCCATCATAGGTCCTTTCAGCCATCTCCTCTCAGTTATTGACTCCTAGCCATCTCCCCTCAGTCATCCCCTCTCAGCCATCTCCTCTCAGTCATTGCCTCCTAGCCATCTCCCCTCAGTCATCTCCTCTCAATTATTGGCTCCTAGCCATCTCCCCTCAGTCATCTCCTCTCAGCCATCTCCTCTCAGTCATTGCCTCCTAGCCATCTCCCCTCAGTAATCTCCTCTCAGTTATTGGCTCCTAGCCATCTCCCCTCAGTCATCTCCTCTCAGCCATCTCCTCTCAGCCGTCTCCTCTCAGTCATTGCCTCCTATCCATCTCCCCTCAGTCAATTTTTCAAGTAATCTTCGCTCAGTCAACTTCCATCAGTCAGATCCTCTCAGCCATCTCCTCTCTGCCATTTTCGCTCATATCGTCTCTGCCATCTCCTCTCAGCCATCTCTCCTCAGTCATCTCCTCTCAGCCATCTCCTCTCAGTCATCTCCTCTCCTCAGTCATCTCCTCTCAGCCATCTTCTCTCAGTCATCTCCTCTCAGCCATCTCTCCTCAGTCATCTCCTCTCAGTCATCTTCTCTCAGTCATCTCCTCTCAGCCATCTCCTCTCAGTCATCTCCTCTCAGCCATCTCTTCTCAGTCATCTCCTCTCAGTCATTTTCTCTCAGTCATCTCCTCCCAGCACCATCTCTCCTCAGTCATCTCCTCTCAGCCATCTCCTCTCAGTCATCTCCTCTCAGCCATCTCTCCTTAGTCATCTCCTCTTAGCCATCTCTCCTCAGTCATCTCCTCTCAGCCATCTCTCCTTAGTCATCTCCTCTCAGCCATTTCTCCTCAGTCATCTCCTCTCAGCCATCTCTCCTCAGTCATCTCCTCTCAGCCATCTCTCCTCAGTCATCTCCTCTCAGCCATCTCTCGTCAGCCATCTCCCCTCATAACTTCTTTCATCCATTTCCACTCATAACTTCTCTCAGCCATCTGTCATCATAGATCATCTCAGCCATATCCTCCTGTGTGTTCCGGAAGCCCCATTTTGGGGGAGGTGGGGGTAGACCTATTGCCTCCATAACAAACAAGCATGTCGTAAGATTCAGTTATTTAGTGCTTTCTTTAAAGTCCGAGAGCATCTGCCTGAGAGACAAGTAACCAGCAGTCTGCGTACAAATAAGCTAGATCTGTCAGATGGATGTGTGTGCACAACTCAAATTCTGGAACAAGACTAAAGTCCAGAAGTGGACGAACAACCAGAATTTTTAGGTGGTGTTTACAGCTGGTGAAGAAAAAGAAGAAGAAGAACCTCAGCCATCTCACCTCACAGGCTGTGATCTTGCACCTTGGTCACTAGCCAGGTCAGGCATTGGTCTCAGAGACTTGAAATGTTTATGCTGCTGATGAGTTGCCTTTTGTTTCTATGTTGCTCAGTGATAATCGCTGAGATCTGATAAATCACTGCTTAGTTTTTTTTGGCATCTCGTTTGTTGCATCTATGTGAACATTCCACAGAGAGGGGCGGAGCTGGAGCTCACAGACAAGACTGGTTGGACAGCCCTGTTCCATGCCACCTACGCAGGCCATCAGAACTTTGTGGCTTTTCTCTTGGAGGCTGGGGCCAACAAGGATGCCATGTATGTAACCAGACCTGCTCTTGCGACTTTCTTACTTCTTGTTGGGACTTTAAAAAAAAAAATACCATGCAGACTTTTCTTACTTCTCATTGTGATTTTCTTATATCTCCTTGTGGCTTACCTATTCTCATTGTGACTTTCCTATTCTCATTGCGACTTTCCTATTCTCATTGCGACTTTCCTGTTCTCATTGTGACTTTCCTATTCTCATTGCGACTTTCCTATTCTCATTGTGACTTTCCTATTCTCATTGCGACTTTCCTATTCTAATTGCGACCCTCCTGCTTCTTATTGTGACTTTCCTATTCTCATTGTGACTTTCCTATTCTCATTGCGACTTTCCTGCTTCTTATTGTGACTTTCCTATTCTCATTGTGACTTTCCTATTCTCATTGTGACTTTCCTATTCTCATTGCGACTTTCCTGCTTCTTATTGTGACTTTCCTATTCTCATTGTGACTTTCCTATTCTCATTGCGACTTTCCTGCTTCTTATTGTGACTTTCTTACTTATGAATATGACTTTCTTGCTTTTGAATGTGACTGTCTTCTTTGTTTTCACCGGCAGAAAGTTCTGGTTGTTTGTCTGTCTATTGGACCTTAGGTCTTGTTCCACAACCTGAGTGTTGTGTGCATATCTGTTTTACAGATCTGACTTATTTCTAGGAATGCTGTTGGTCCCTTGCTTTTCAGGTAGATGTACTCCGACTTTGTAATTAGTCGCTGTTATGACAGGCTTGTTGTGGAGGCAGTTTTCTTTTTCTTGTTTTCCTCACAGTGGGGCTCCAGCAGCCACATGGAGAACTTCTCATTGTGACTTTCTTACTTCTCCTTGTGACTTTCTTACATCTCATTGTGACTTTCTTTCTTCTCCTTGTGACTTTCTTAATCTCATTGTGACTTTCTTACATCTCGTGACTTTCTTACATCTCGTGACTTTCTTACTTCTCATTGTGACTTTCTTACTTCTCATTGTGACTTTCTTACTTTTCATTGTGACTTTCTTACTTCTCATTGTGACTTTATTACTTTTCATTATGACTTTTTTACTTTTTATTGTGACTTTCTTACATCTCATTGTGACTTTCTTACTTCTCATTGTGACTTTCTTACTTTTTATTGTAACTTTCTTATTTTTCATTGTGACTTTCTTACATCTTGTTGTGACTTTCTTTCTTCTCATTGTGACTTTCTTACTTGTCATTGTGACTTTCTTACTTTTCATTGTGACTTTGTTTTCCTCACAGTGGGGCTCCAGCAGCCACATGGAGAACTTCTCATTGTGACTTTCTTACTTCTCCTTGTGACTTTCTTACATCTCATTGTGACTTTCTTTCTTCTCCTTGTGACTTTCTTAATCTCATTGTGACTTTCTTACATCTCGTGACTTTCTTACATCTCGTGACTTTCTTACTTCTCATTGTGACTTTCTTACTTCTCATTGTGACTTTCTTACTTTTCATTGTGACTTTCTTACTTCTCATTGTGACTTTATTACTTTTCATTATGACTTTTTTACTTTTTATTGTGACTTTCTTACATCTCATTGTGACTTTCTTACTTCTCATTGTGACTTTCTTACTTTTTATTGTAACTTTCTTATTTTTCATTGTGACTTTCTTACATCTTGTTGTGACTTTCTTTCTTCTCATTGTGACTTTCTTACTTGTCATTGTGACTTTCTTACTTTTCATTGTGACTTTCTTACTTCTCATTTTGACTTTCTTACTTCTCATTGCTATTCTCTATGGGGATAGTGTTCTGAGAAGGAAGGGACAAGAACTTGTCAAGGAATGGCATGGTTGATGGAAAAGGGGGAATAAAAAGAGGTAAATTCCTGGGTAGGTAGCCATATAAAGGGGAGGGAGGGGGGGTAAGACAGGAACACTGACCTGATCCCTGATTCTGCCAATCATATGCGACAGCCAAACACGACAGCCTAGGCTCATCAGCAAGGCACATGATGGTGATAATAATAATTATTGCAAGCTAATGTGCTTTTTTAATAGCCTGACTTCTCTCACTTGTCACCTGGAGTGCATATATATGTATATATACGAGGCACGTTTTTTAAGTAAGTCCCATTTTGACTGCAGTGACAAACACTGATGAGAAACATAAATATGCATGTGCAGTATGTTTATGTGGTTTATTAGCTAGCTGTGTGCTTTTTTGTCACTGTTGAAATCTTGTGTGATGCTGCGTGTGAGTGATTTAAAATAAGTGACAATTCAAATACTCCTGCCAGCTGTGAGGTTTGTGCTGTGATCTGTTTTTTGTTAGCAAAAAACAACAGTGCTGCAGAAATTCACAGGCAACTTATTGAGGTTTATGGGCCTGATGTTACGACTGAAAGTATGGTTAGGAAATGTTGTTGAGTGTTTAAAGAAAGGTGAACAAATATCCATGATAAAGATCGTAGTGGTCGGCCGAGTGTGGTGACAGACGATTTGGTCGAAGAAGTGAACCAAAAAATTCAAAAAAATTCAGGATAATCATTGTTTCACAATTTCTGCTTTGTCTATAAAATTTTCGGAAGTTTAACATTAACTTATCTACGACATTGTAACAAGAAATTTTGGATACAGAAACTTGTGTGCCATCTAAAACAAAAAGACGTGGGTTGCTGTCCTCTGGAATTGCGCTTTTGCACGATAATGCTTGACCTCACATCACAGATGGAACTTCAATTGTTGCAAAAATTTCACTGGGAAATTGTTGACCACCCGTTCTACATGCCCGATCGGGCGCCAGTGATTACCACCTTTTCATGCACCTAAAGAAGTGGATGGCATCCCAGCGGTTTGAAACTGATTATGAACTGCAGACAGGCGTTAATGAATGGTTCAAGACACTTGCGGCAGACTTCTATGACATTAGAATTAAGAACCTGGTGCCATGTTACCAATCATGGGGGAAAGTCAAAGAGGAGTAGGTTGAGAAAACATGTAAATGTGTGGTTCACTTTTGTCCGCAATAAATCATTTTTATATATGATGGTTTAAAAACAAAAAAATTTTGTGCCGGGACTTACTTAAAAAACGCACCTTGTGTTTGTGTATATATACATATACATGTCGGCGTCTATGGCTTAGGCGTTGTGAACGAGATTTGTAATGCCAGGCTGCCAGCTTCGATCCTAGATGCGGGCCTTGCTTTGGTTTCGACAGTGGTATCGAGAAGCCGACCGTCCAGAATGCGATGTCGAACTTCTAGACGTAAATTTGCCTAAAAAAACCACAACAGCCAAAAAATGCTGGGGTTGGTTCTGCAACAGGCTATAAAGAATAGGCAACTAATTTTATACATATACATATATATATATATATATATATATTTTGTATGATCCAACAGAGAGGCCAGCTCAGGCATGACTCCATTCATGGAAGCTGCAGCAGCAGGTCATGAAATCATTGTGCAGCTCTTCCTGCAGCACGTATGTGACTGTGGTTGTATTCTCTTGTTGTCTCTTTCATCACATGCTGCTACTCTATAAACACAGTGACTGGTTGTATTCTCTTGTTGTCTCTTTCATCACATACTGCTACTCTATAAACACAGTGACTGGTTGTATTCTCTTGTTGTCTCTTTCATCACATACTGCTACTCTATAAACACAGTGACTAGTTGTATTCTCTTGTTGTCTCTTTGATCACATGCTGCTACTCTATAAACACAGTGACTGGTTGTATTCTCTTGTTGTCTCTTTCATCACATGCTGCTACTCTATAAACACAGTGACTGATTGTATTCTCTTGTTGTCTCTTTCATCACATACTGCTACTCTATAAACACAGTGACTGATTGTATTCTCTTGTTGTCTCTTTGATCACATGCTGCTACTCTATAAACACAGTGACTGGTTGTATTCTCTTGTTGTCTCTTTCATCACATGCTGCTACTCTATAAACACAGTGACTGGTTGTATTCTCTTGTTGTCTCTTTCATCACATACTGCTACTCTATAAACACAGTGACTAGTTGTATTCTCTTGTTGTCTCTTTGATCACATGCTGCTACTCTATAAACACAGTGACTGGTTGTATTCTCTTGTTGTCTCTTTCATCACATGCTGCTACTCTATAAACACAGTGACTGATTGTATTCTCTTGTTGTCTCTTTCATCACATACTGCTACTCTATAAACACAGTGACTGATTGTATTCTCTTGTTGTCTCTTTGATCACATGCTGCTACTCTATAAACACAGTGACTGGTTGTATTCTCTTGTTGTCTCTTTCATCACATGCTGCTACTCTATAAACACAGTGACTGGTTGTATTCTCTTGTTGTCTCTTTCATCACATACTGCTACTCTATAAACACAGTGACTGATTGTATTCTCTTGTTGTCTCTTTCATCACATGCTGCTACTCTATAAACACAGTGACTGGTTGTATTCTCTTGTTGTCTCTTTCATCACATGCTGCTACTCTATAAACACAGTGACTGGTTATATTCTCTTGTTGTCTCTTTCATCACATACTGCTACTCTATAAACACAGTGACTGTTTGTATTCTCTTGTTGTCTCTTTCATCACATGCTGCTACTCTATAAACACAGTGACTGGTTGTATTCTCTTGTTGTCTCTTTCATCACACGCTGCTACTCTATAAACACAGTGACTGGTTGTATTCTCTTGTTGTTTCTTTCATCACATACTGCTACTCTATAAACACAGTGACTGGTTGTATTCTCTTGTTGTCTCTTTCATCACATGCTGCTACTCAATAAACACAGTGACTAGTTGTATTCTCTTGTTGTCTCTTTCATCACATACTGCTACTCTATAAACACAGTGACTAGTTGTATTCTCTTGTTGTCTCTTTCATCACATACTGCTACTCTATAAACACAGTGACTGGTTGTATTCTCTTGTTGTTTCTTTCATCACATGCTGCCACTCTATAAACACAGTGACTAGTTGTATTCTCTTGTTGTCTCTTTCATCACATACTGCTACTCTATAAACACAGTGACTGGTTGTATTCTCTTGTTGTCTCTTTCATCACATACTGCTACTCTATGAACACAGTGACTGGTTGTATTCTCTTGTTGTTTCTTTCATCACATGCTGCCACTCTATAAACACAGTGACTGGTTGTATTCTCTTGTCTCTTTCATCACATACTGCTACTCTATAAACACAGTGACTGGTTGTATTCTCTTGTTGTCTCTTTCATCACATACTGCTACTCTATAAACACAGTGACTGGTTGTATTCTCTTGTTGTTTCTTTCATCACATGCTGCTACTCTATAAACACAGTGACTAGTTGTATTCTCTTGTTGTCTCTTTCATCACATACTGCTACTCTATAAACACAGTGACTAGTTGTATTCTCTTGTTGTCTCTTTGATCACATGCTGCTACTCTATAAACACAGTGACTGGTTGTATTCTCTTGTTGTTTCTTTCATCACATGCTGCTACTCTATAAACACAGTGACTGGTTGTATTCTCTTGTTGTCTCTTTGATCACATGCTGCTACTCTATAAACACAGTGACTGGTTGTATTCTCTTGTTGTCTCTTTCATCACATACTGCTACTCTATAAACACAGTGACTGGTTGTATTCTCTTGTTGTCTCTTTGATCACATGCTGCTACTCTATAAACACAGTGACTGATTGTATTCTCTTGTTGTCTCTTTCATCACATGCTGCTACTCTATAAACACAGTGACTGGTTGTATTCTCTTGTTGTCTCTTTCATCACATACTGCTACTCTATAAACACACCCTCTCCCCATGAGGGTTCTCGGGTCCCATAAGGGGGGGGGGGGGGGGAATAGACCCACTGCTCAGCTAACAAGCATACCATGAAGAGTCCAAAATGTTTAAAATGGGGATCGTCGCCGACCAGATACCCAAGCTCCAGCTTAGAAAGATCATTAGTACAGTATACCTGGCAACAATCAGTGGGCCACTTGCTAGTCCTCTGTGGGTCGGTTTTGTCCTACAGGCCATCATTTAAATAGGCTGGGTGTAGATCATTGATACAAACCATTGCAGGAAAATATTTCAAGTGAGGGAAACAGTGATTGAGTTCATGGGGAGAAGTGTCCAGTTAAACTTGAATCTGCGACAGGTCTGGCAAACTGGTGGAAGATTTAGCTACATACGGTGATGCACAAGATACATTTTGGAGATGTGAGAGTGTTCTCCTTTACTACAACTAATAAGTGGGAGATTGTAACAACAGAGATGAGATTCTTAGGAGAGCTGCCGGTGTGACAAGGAATAAAATCAGTAATGAAAAAATTAGAAGAGGACTAAAACCAGTTGTAAAATTCATTAAAGAACAACGAGTGAGATGGTTTGCAAACTGACAAGAATGCCCTGGTACCAACTGCCTCAGAGAGCCAGGCTAAAGAAATATAATGAACATAGAGCAAGGGAAAGACCATGCAAGATATGGAGCGACATCATCAGAAGCAAGCTAACAGAAATGAACACCAACTTGCACATTGGAAAAAGCGTACAAACTATTCTTGCATCTCCCCCCCCCAACACCTCGCTGAGGTAAATGGCGGAAGAGAAGAAGAAACAGTGATTATAGTTTATTCCTTCTTGTTTGTGACATGACCATGAGATGATAAACAGTTGCAGGATCTGGTCTTAACCAAAAAAAATAGATATTTCCCTAATTCATTTGTAGGTTGTAGGGTGCCATCATCGCTCATTGACGTGAACCATCGAAGAACATGGAACCCCATGATGGGAATGTAGCTTGATCTTCTTCTTTTTCAGCATTCCGAGCCCTTTAGGTTTATTGCTGCGGCTATCACCCGTCTCAATTCATCTCTCTGGTTGGGCTTCTCTTTCCAGTTGGTGGCACGTAGTGTTTGCAGGTCTCTCTGGACATGATCTCTTCATCGTCTTCTTGGTCTGCCTCGTGGTCTAAGACCATTCAGCTCCCTTGTGTGTACATTTTTAACTTCTCTGTCGTCTGACATTCTTTCAATATGCCCCAACCCTTTCAGTCTGTTAGCTCTCATGATGCCAGTGATCAGTGGTGACTTAAACAGATTATGAATGTACCTTGATATGAATTTTTAATTATATTAAGTCAGGCTTGCCACACTTTTTGACCCAGAATGTGAGGCGAAATCACAGAGGTTAGCTGGAGAGATGAGTGAGAATGGATCAAATTATATTGCATTTAGCTTTAATATTTAGCATTAATATTGCTAAAGGAGGATTTGAGCCACTCAGCAAGGTGTCACCAAGGCACTTGATGATGACAAACTAGCATCATGGTAGGAGGTAAACCAGTTTTCTGCTGCAGGCAAAAATAAAAATAAAAACAAGTGCCACAAATGTTCCTGTTTGTGATGACCCTGCTTTGCATGGTCTCCACGAGTACATTGTGGCAAGCAGGAAGTCCGTGCTACAAGTGACGGCACGAGATACTTGTGGCCGGTGGAGTAAGCGAGGCGAAGCCCGAGCTAGCCTCGTGGTCAGTCGATCATCAGAAGTCAGAGAAGACGGTTGTAGTATTTGAAGATGTCGTCTTTATGTTGCGCAAATGTTTAATGTTCGAATATGTCGCGAGTGATACAGTGTGAATAATGTTTGAACATGTGAAATAAATGGACCAGAATAAACTGACAGAATGTACCAAGAAGCTGAAAGGCGTTAGTGTTGTCAACCCTAGATGTTGAAGCTGGTGCAAACCAAGGTACATTAGAAGTCTACGTCAAGGTTCATTCCAAGAGTAGCATCGACTCATTCCAAGCAGACCACGCTTCATTTCAAGTAGACCAAGATTCATTTCACTGTTAATGAGCAGAAATTTTCCAAATAAGTATACTATTAATTACACGTGATATTCGGCAGGGTGTGAACACCAATGCCAAGGCCCACAATGGAGTAATGGCTCGCTCGCTGGCTCTGATGAATGGCCACATGAAGGTCATCAGTCTCATAGACAACCATGTGATGCCTGTGTCCTGCTTGAGGCCACAGCCTGGTGAGTCTGGCTTATGTTGTTGTCTTACTGTTAGCAAGTTGTCCACTGCTCTCTCTCTCTCCCCCCCCCCCCCCCTCTCTGTCTTTCTCTCTCTCTCTCTCTCTCTCTCTTTGCCTGTCTACCACCAATGGGAAGCTATCAGTTATATTGTAGTCTGGGTTTATTTGCACCATATTCATGGCTAAAAACCTTCCCCTCCCCCCTACCTGTCTACCAACAATGGGAAGCTATCAGTTATATTGTAGTCTGGGTTTATTTGTACCATATTCATGGCTAAAAACCTTCCCTCCCCCCTACCTGTCTACCAACAATGGGAAGCTATCGGTTATATTGTAGTCTGGGTTTATTTGCACCATATTCATGGCTAAAAACCTTCCCCTCCCCCCTACCTGTCTACCAACAATGGGAAGCTATCAGTTATATTGTAGTCTGGGTTTATTTGCACCATATTCATGGCTAAAAACCTTCCCCTCCCCCCTACCTGTCTACCAACAATGGGAAGCTATCGGTTATATTGTAGTCTGGGTTTATTTGTACCATATTCATGGCTAAAAACCTTCCCCTCCCCCCTACCTGTCTACCAACAATGGGAAGCTATCGGTTATATTGTAGTCTGGGTTTATTTGCACCATATTCATGGCTAAAAACCTTCCCCTCCCCCCTACCTGTCTACCAACAATGGGAAGCTATCAGTTATATTGTAGTCTGGGTTTATTTGCACCATATTCATGGCTAAAAAACCTTCCCCTCCCCCCTACCTGTCTACCAACAATGGGAAGCTATCGGTTATATTGTAGTCTGGGTTTATTTGTACCATATTCATGGCTAAAAAACCTTCCCCTCCCCCCTACCTGTCTACCAACAATGGGAAGCTATCGGTTATATTGTAGTCTGGGTTTATTTGCACCATATTCATGGCTAAAAACCTTTCCCTCCCCCCTACCTGTCTACCAACAATGGGAAGCTATCAGTTATATTGTAGTCTGGGTTTATTTGCACCATATTCATGGCTAAAAACCTTCCCCTCCCCCCTACCTGTCTACCAACAATGGGAAGCTATCAGTTATATTGTAGTCTGGGTTTATTTGTACCATATTCATGGCTAAAAACCTTCCCCTCCCCCCTACCTGTCTACCAACAATGGGAAGCTATCAGTTATATTGTAGTCTGGGTTTATTTGTACCATATTCATGGCTAAAAACCTTCCCTCCCCCCTACCTGTCTACCAACAATGGGAAGCTATCAGTTATATTGTAGTCTGGGTTTATTTGCACCATATTCATGGCTAAAAAACCTTCCCCTCCCCCCTACCTGTCTACCAACAATGGGAAGCTATCAGTTATATTGTAGTCTGGGTTTATTTGTACCATATTCATGGCTAAAAACCTTCCCCTCCCCCCTACCTGTCTACCAACAATGGGAAGCTATCAGTTATATTGTAGTCTGGGTTTATTTGTACCATATTCATGGCTAAAAACCTTCCCTCCCCCCTACCTGTCTACCAACAATGGGAAGCTATCAGTTATATTGTAGTCTGGGTTTATTTGCACCATATTCATGGCTAAAAACCTTCCCCTCCCCCCTACCTGTCTACCAACAATGGGAAGCTATCAGTTATATTGTAGTCTGGGTTTATTTGCACCATATTCATGGCTAAAAACCTTCCCCTCCCCCCTACCTGTCTACCAACAATGGGAAGCTATCAGTTATATTGTAGTCTGGGTTTATTTGCACCATATTCATGGCTAAAAACCTTCCCCTCCCCCCTACCTGTCTACCAACAATGGGAAGCTATCGGTTATATTGTAGTCTGGGTTTATTTGCACCATATTCATGGCTAAAAACCTTCCCCTCCCCCCTACCTGTCTACCAACAATGGGAAGCTATCGGTTATATTGTAGTCTGGGTTTATTTGCACCATATTCATGGCTAAAAACCTTCCCCTCCCCCCTACCTGTCTACCAACAATGGGAAGCTATCGGTTATATTGTAGTCTGGGTTTATTTGCACCATATTCATGGCTAAAAACCTTCCCCTCCCCCCTACCTGTCTACCAACAATGGGAAGCTATCGGTTATATTGTAGTCTGGGTTTTATTTGCACCATATTCATGGCTAAAAACCTTCCCCTCCCCCCTACCTGTCTACCAACAATGGGAAGCTATCGGTTATATTGTAGTCTGGGTTTATTTGTACCATATTCATGGCTAAAAACCTTCCCCTCCCCCCTACCTGTCTACCAACAATGGGAAGCTATCAGTTATATTGTAGTCTGGGTTTATTTGTACCATATTCATGGCTAAAAACCTTCCCCTCCCCCCCTACCTGTCTACCAACAATGGGAAGCTATCAGTTATATTGTAGTCTGGGTTTATTTGCACCATATTCATGGCTAAAAACCTTCCCCTCCCCCCTACCTGTCTACCAACAATGGGAAGCTATCAGTTATATTGTAGTCTGGGTTTATTTGCACCATATTCATGGCTAAAAACCTTCCCCTTCCCCCTACCTGTCTACCAACAATGGGGAGCTATCGGTTATATTGTAGTCTGGGTTTATTTGCACCATATCCAAAAACTGCTCCCCCTAGCCGCCTCTCCCCCAAGTAGCCCTGAAAACTGCTCTTGCAATGTTGATACAATTGGCCAGACCCTACTGCCTTCCGACCGGTGATCGAGTCCCCCATTGAGCCACCCAGTCCTCGATGAAAAAAAAAAAAATATTTTTCATATTCAGAGTAGTACCTTGTGGAATTGATGTTTCTGGCATTCCAGTAAATCATGGTTGTATCCTTACTTAAGTATTTTATTAGAGGGAGTTGTATGTTTATGTGTTACTTGTGTTACATATTCATGTTGGCTCTTTAAAGAATGTATATTCATGTTTTCCTTCCAGGCTTTAATTTCAAGGTGATTAAAATTATTGTAATTTCTGGAAAGGCTAACCCAGGCACAAATGTCGGATTTGTCGGCCGAAAGGTGCAAATATCGCATCCTTGTTAGGGCATAAGGTGGTGCTGAACATGGACATTAACAACAAAAGAAAAACATACAAATCAAAACAACAGAAGTGAAATGTCTATGGTGAATATAACTAGAAGGGACGGAATCGTAAATGATGATATCAGGAAAGAGGTTGTGACTGAGGCAGTATTAAACTACACCAAGAGACAAGAGATCAAATGGTTTGGACATGTTTCAAGACTACCACCGGATAACATAACATAACCCTTGACCCGTGGAGGTGTATGGATGGAAGCACTAGCACATAAAACCTGCCATCTTTCTCCGTCTTCTGCTTGATGAATAAGTGTATGATAACTTAGTCCTGTTCATTTCTTGATGTTGTTATTCCAGGTTCTCTTTTTCCCTCCTCTTCTTTGACTACCCCCCCCCCCCCCCTCCCCCTACCCCCACACCTACAGTCTTTGCAATCGAATCATGTCTCACCACGTGCCCAAACCAAGCTAGATTGGGATGTTTCACAACTGCCAAGAGAGGCTCCTGATGTCCTGCAAATTTGTATATTCTGTCTTTGACATATTAATTAGTTTTGTGTTCTAAATAACTAATTCATAAAATGCGTCTGTAGCATTTTATTTAGATTAGAAAGCCTGAATCCTCCTTTACATTTCCACAGTGAGAGTCCAACTCTCACACCTGTATAAGAAAATAGGCAATACCAGTGATTTGTAAATATTGATCATGGTGCACCACAGAGAGCCCTGTCATTTAGATGTAACGAAAGAGAGCCAGAGATCTGCGGTGGATAGATAGAATATCCGAGGCCATAAGTACCAGCATCTATTTTGCTGATGCTGAAAACTAGAACAGGACTAGAGAAGATGAAGAAGTATGTTTGTTATACTGAACATGTTCTTGTGTTCCTGTCAGTCAGTCAGCTGCATGTTCTTTGCTCCCATAACAATCCTCCGTAAAACTTCTCGATCACAAGCAAGATGTCCCGTGTCCGATACACCCATCTGGAGATCATCGGCCACATCCTGCACCCATCTTCTCTTTGGCCTTTCTTCCCAGATATATACTCCTCCATTATTTTTCTCTCTAAACTTTCATGACGTTTCAAGTGACTAGAATATTTAAATTTTCTGTGTTTTATTATCTTTTTAAAAGCCAACCTTCTTCAGTATTCAGTTCTTGAAGTAGGGTTGCATTTGTTTTCTTGTTTTTCTTTAAGAAGCATTTATCTGTACTCTTTGTATGTTTGTTATACTGAAAATGTTCTTGTATACCTTTTGGGTGTATTTATCCCCTACTCTTTGATATCTCCTTAGGTCCTGATTGCTACCGAACATCTAAAGAGACCCAGTCTAGAAAGCAGCTTCCATCGGTCCACAGTCGTCGTCTAAAACCCCAGAGCCCAAGCATCAGAGAAGGACCAGAGGCCATCGCTAGAATGATTGACAGAACCCGAAATAAGGACACTGTTGCATATCCTAGTATGTGGAGTCTTTGTCTGTATGTGGGTGCGAGTGCATGCTTGTCTTTCTCTCTCCCTCTGTGTGTGTGTGTGTGTGTCTTTGTGTGTATGTCTATATGAATTATGCATCTTCTTCTTCTATATGAGTTATGCATCTTCTTCTTCTTAGCCATCACCGGCTGTAAACTCTGTTGAAAAGTTCTGGTTGTTCAGCCACCGCTGAACTAGATTTATGTGTGCACATCTGTTGAAACAATCTGGCTTTTTTGTGTGCGGGCCTATCCTCGCTGCTCAAAAAGAGGCAGACTTCAAAGTAAATAGCTCTGATTGGTAGACTTTTGCATCATGCTTGTAAGGATGGGGGGGGGAGTCTATAAACCCCCCCCCCCCCCACCCCCACCCCTTCCAATGATGGAGCCCTGGAACCCACACAGAGAAATTAAGAGTTACATTATCTTCACGGCACTGCAGACATGTCCAATGTATATGTGTTTGTTGTAAATTTAGATATTGATACGTACCCCACCTCCCCCCCCCCTCCTCTTTTTTGCTTCCTGGAGTGATGTTAGTAAAACGTGATGACACTCTGGACATTATTTATCTGCGCTTCCCGCATGCGTTCCGGGCCCCATTTTGGAGGGACAAATGAAGAGCCCCGCTGCCTCCCCTAACAATCAATGAACAAACTTTATTTTCAACAGGTTAAGAATTGGGCACGCAGGCCTGACTGACATTCTGCCCTTCTGGTCCCTTCTTCCAATGTACATCATTTCATTTATTTAGTCCTACAGGGTGACTGAATAGATGAGTTTCCTTTGAAGTCAGAGTGTGTCTGCCTGAAAGGTGAGGAACCAACAATCTGCTTACAAATAAGCCAGATCTGTAAAATGGATCTGCACACAAAAATCAAAGTTCTGGAGCCAGTTGAAAGTCCAGATGCGGTCAGACATCCATAACTTTCTGCCAATGAATGCTGAGAACACGAAAATGATTTATCTATTCAGAAAATTGTATATTCTGTGACAATATTTGGGTTTAACTTGGGAAAAGTCTTGTTTCTTTGTCTAACACAGCGGTTCTCAACATTGTTTTGAGTCGCACGACACTTTCACAGGGGTAGCCAAAGACCATCGCAAAACATATTCGTTGAAGTTATGAACTAGCTACGAAAATCATTGTATGGTTCAGGGTTGCCACAACATGAGGAACTGTATTAAAGGGTCGCGGCATTAGGAAGGTTGAGAACCACTGACCTTACACAGTTGGTGGTCTGATTGACAAGTTTGTTTTTAAAAAATAATTTTGAATTGACAGATTTGTTGGTTCCTAAGGGATATGTGACATTTCCCATAAATGGTGCTGATAAAGAGGACACTAAAATGTCCTATCGAGATGTGACGTCCCCGATTAATCCAGAGGATTACAAGGATAGTTCTGGAAGCAGGGCCATGTCGGGTATGTTGATTTGTTCTTTTTTGGGTATGTTGATAGCTTTGTTATGTTCTTTTTGGGTATGTTGATTGGCTTTGTTATGTTTTTTTTTTGTGGATATGTTGATTGGCTTTGTTATGTTCTTTTTTGGTGTATGTTGAATAGCTTTGTTATGTTTTTTTTTTTTTTTGGTACGTTGATTGGCTTTGTTATGTTCTTTTTGGTATGTTGATTGGCTTTGTTACCTGTTCTTTTTTAGTATGTTGATTGGTTTTGTTACTTGTTCTTTTTGGGTATGTAGATTGGGTTTTTAACATGTTCTTTTTAATTATGTAGATTGGTTTTTTTTTACATGTTCTTTTTGGGGCATGTTGATTGGCTTTGTTATGTTCTTTTTATGTATGAAAATTGGCTTTGTTGCATGTTCTTTTTGGGTATGTCGATTGGCTTTGTTACCTGTTCTTTTTGGGTATGTTGATTGGCTTTGTTACATGTTCTTTTTGGTTATGTTAATTGGCTTTGTTAAATGTGCTTGTTTGGGTAGTTTGATTGGCTTTGTTACATGTTATTTTTGGGTATGTAGATTAGTTTTTTTTACATGTTCTTTTTGGTATGTCGATTGGCTTTGTTACTTTTTGGGTATGCTGATTAACTTTGTTAAATTTCTTTCCCCAATGTTGTCAAGTATCTGTTGTCGTTCTTTCATCTTTCTCTTCGATTGTACCATGCTTTTTGTCTTGTTGTTGTACCATGAGCTTTCCTTTGTTGTACCATGATCATTCCTTTGTTGTACTATGAACATTCCCTTGTTGTACCATGAGCTTTCCTTTGTTGTACCATGAGCTTTCCTTTGTTGTAATATTATCTTTCATTTGTTGTGCCATGATCTTTCATCTACTGTACTATAATCTTTCCTTTGCTGTACCATGATCTTTCCTTTGTTGTACCATGAACTTTCCTTTGTTGTACTATGAACTTTCCTTTGTTGTACATTAGCTTTCCTTTGTTGTACCATGAGCTTTCCTTTGTTGTACTATGATCTTTCATTTGTTGTGCGATGATCTTTCATCTATTGTACTATGATCTTTCCTTTGTTGTACTATAATCTTTTATTTGCTGTACCATGATTTTTCTTTGTCGTACTATGGCCTTTCATTACATTCTATCATGTGCAGTCATGGATGGAATCCAGTTTCTCATTTGGGGGCCTGTTTGGTGATTCTCTTTGTCTCTTCTTAGAATGTGTCCAATATATCACTGTCTTCTCTGTCTTATAACTGTTGATACTAGTTGTTGCCCAGATCTTTCTTTTTATTTCATCACCCCTCTTGAAATCATCCCATTCTGTGTTCATCATTTTTCCCTCAGGGATTTGTTTTCCAATGCCTTTAACCTTTGTTCCATGTCCTTTCAAAACCTAACAAATATATTTCATGCCAGGCTGATGGTGGTTTTTGTGTGTGTGTGTTTCAGATCTGGAAGATTTTAACGATGACAGCAATGCTTTCACCAAGACGGGAGCCATCACCATCAGGAGCAGTTCTAGCTCCAGTGGAGGACTGGTCGCTGCCTTGGGACTGAGTCGTGAGGGCAGCCTCGACAGCGATGATTCACACTTATTTGAGCCAGCAGCCACTTCGTCTGATGATGCTGCTGAATTTCCTGACATTACATTTGAAAATAATAGAGGCAGAACTGTTTCTTTAAATGAAAATAATCTCTGTACAGATGAGAAGCCTTATCTCGGAGATAGTCGTTTAAATGCTCGTGTTTGTGATAAGGAAAACATAAAGCCTGATTGTAACATGGTGCAGCTTTCCGCTGTAAAAACTGGTAAAAGTGGTTTTAATTTGATTGAAAATGGTGGCGGCAGTCTGAGGCAGAATTCTCTAGTGGCGTCCCCTGTACAGGATTACTTCCCTTTACACTCACCTGTCCCAGGTGGGGATACTGCTGCACCGTCTGACAAATGTCAAGGTCATCAGCATGAATCCTCTATGCCGTCCAGCTCTCATCAGTCCCCACTGACGGCATCCGACTCTTGTTTGTCACTGCCAAAAGATAACATGTCTCAGGTGGAAATTGTCAATCGGTTCCTCAGAAACTTAACCGTGAACAACCCAGAAACAGCTCCGGATCAGCACCGATGGGCAGATGAGCCCAGTAGCAAACAGACATTGTGTGATTATCGGGAGACAGAAGCACACCTGATGGAGAACCTGACAACCACTGCTTCGGAGGTGATCCCTGGGATGAGACGATACTCCTTGTCCGCATGTGCTGACAGTAAAATTGTTGAATATAAATGTAAGGATGGCACATTAAATGTGGAGTCCGCTCACAGCAGCATCGCCGGTTCATCGTTAGATGTTCCACAGACAGAATTTTTTGATGGTTTACTAGAACCGTCTTTAAAAGATACCGGTTCAGTGGATGTTCAGGGACAACCCTTTCCACGATCAAAACCTAGCCATCATCAAAGGGACCCTTTCGATCACAAATCCAACCAGCCTTGGGCACAACACCCACAGTTGAATCATCACCATCCTCTACATAATCGCCATCTGCTTAGCCACGTTCCACTTTCACATCATCAGCGAGCAGACAGTCCGGGAGGGAGTGTGAGGCACACTTCTGCAAGCATGAACACTGCTCCTATGACTTCCTCTCAGTCGTTAATCACAAACCACACTGAAAGCCCAGAACCATTTCTCCATCTACCCAAGGAGTACTTCTTTGGTGATGTTCAAATGTCTGGTCATTCTGCTCAGAATATGTTGACAGGAGCACAGAATGCAGCCTCAGCAACTCAAGTAGACACTGCTGCTTCCCAGCAAAATTTTGTTAGAAAACTGTCAACTAGTCATTATACATCACCTCAGTGTGACAGTTCTACTGCTGACAATACTGTCCAGAAATTGCCTGGGATTGGTGAACCTCTGGGATCTTTAAACACGGTTCAGTCTCCACACATGCAGGGAGGCCAGTTCAACAAGTTGGCCAGCCAACAGACACTGTCACCTCACAGTACTGGCCAGGTGGCTTTAAACCCCACAGATTCTCATACAGACCATCAGCCTTCACCTGGGCTAGCTTCAGTCACCTCAGGAAATCATTTCCCACCTCCACCACATACTGCTTCTGCACTGTCGACTTCACCAGCCACCATCATAATCCCCGGCCACACCACCTCACAGCCCGTCAGCAGCACCATCGGCTGGGACCATGAGGGTGGGTCCCTGAACTTTGGCCCCCGGGATCTGGGGGAGATGTTGAGCCAGCTGGGTCTCACCAAGTACCTGGACAAGTTTGAGCAGCAGGACGTGGACTTGCAGGTGTTTCTTTCCATGACAGACAATGACCTCAAGGAGCTGGGAGTCAAGTAAGTTACCCCACACACTGCCTGAGTCTTGATGGACTGGACAGACTTTGACAGACATTAGCAGTATTTAGCAGACATTAGCAGTCTTTGGCAGACTAGCAGACATTAGCAATCTTTGGCACACTTTAGCTGTCATATCAGACTTTAGCAGTCTGTGGTTGACTTTTGCAGATTGTGGCAGTCATGGCAGACATTAGCAGTCTTTGGCAGACTAGCAGACATTAGCAGTCTAAGGTTCACTTTAGCTGTCATATCAGACTTTATTAGTCTGTGGTAAACTCTTGAAGACATTAGCAGTCTTGGCAGACATTAGCAGTCTTTGGCACACTTTAGCTGTCATATCAGACTTTAGCAGTCTATAGTAGACCTTCGCAAACTAGCAGTCTTGGCAGACATTAGCGGTGTTTGGCAGACTGTAGCACTTTTGGCAGACAATACCAATCTTTGGTAGACTTGAGCAGTCTTTGGTGCTCTTCCTTCCATGCAGTGGCTGTATCAGTGTCTCCATGCGTCCCCCATTCCCCGGACCCCAATTTCCCCTACTCATTAGGAGTTGTTTGCCACATCTTCTTTCTGTGCCCTACAACCAGTTTTTGTAGACTTGTTCTCATCCAGTACCCATTTCCAACAGGCGTTTCATCATTTCTGACCCCTTTGTCTCAGTGTCTCTGGAATGCAACACATTCAGTATGTCTGCCTTCCTCCACTGGCCACTGCCGGCATGACCACAAAAAAATGTCCATCGTCCACAGGTTGTTTGGGCCCCGGAAGAAGATGACCAATGCTATAGCTCGCTGGCACAGCAGCGCCCCCATCGCCAGCAGCAACCTGGAGCAGGCATATGCGGACAAGCTGGAGGCTGAGATGCAAGAGATGGCCATACAGTTGAACCAGGTCTGTCCTTGTTTCATGGCCGAATGTAAGACAGGTCTGCGTGCCTAATTTGTGACCCTTTGAAAATAAAGTTTGTTCGTTCATTCACTGTCTTGTCAAAGATATTTCTCTGTCCTTGTTTCCTCTCACTGTCTTGTCACAGACATTTCTCTGTCCTTGTTTCGTATCACTGTCTTGTCACAGGTATTTCTATGTTCTTGTTTCATCCTACTGTCTTGTCACAGACATTTCTCTGTCCTTGTTTCATCTCACTATCTTGTCACATGTATTTCTCTCTCTTGTTTCATCTCACTGTCTCATCACAGGCATTTCTCTATGCTTGTGTCATCTCACTGTCTTGACACAAACATTTCTCTGTCCTTGTTTCATCTCACCGTCTCATCACAAATATTTATTTCTTAATTTTGAACTTGAAAAAAAAAAAAGTGGTCATCTTATACACGGAAAAATATACTAAAAAATCAGACTACAATTAACACCATTACTATTGAAACTCTGCGCTGGCTGCTGAAGATGGGGACAGAGCATGTATAGGAATTGATATGTGTAGACACAAACAGTACATTGTACAGATTGCCTGGCAGATTTTGCTGTATCTCGTCACGGGCTTCAGAGCTGCAGTGACGACTGCCTCCACCTCCATCATCGTGTTTGAAGTTGTAGATTTAAATGCAAGATTCCATTCTGCCGCAATCTTTTCCTGCACTCTAGCTGAGAAACTCTAGCCAGACCTTTGGGCTGTTTGTTTGTTTGTCTGAAGTACTTTGTCTTGCTGTCTGTACAGGTATGTGAGAAATGTGGAGTAGGTACAATGTCTAGAACTGTTGTTCTGCTGTCTCTCGTGTGAGAGTATGGAGCAGGTACAATGTCTAGGACTGTTTTTCATTTGTCTGAAGTACCTTGTTTTGCTGTCTGTACAGGCCTATGAGAATGTGGAGTGCCTGAAAGCCCAGGTGTTGCAGGAGCAGCAGCTGCGGTCTGTGACTGAGAGTTGCCTCATGGAGGAGCGGGCTGCCTGGGAGCAGGGACGGCAGCTCATGCTAAGTACCAGGGCCAAGATGTGTGCCATGGGAGATCTCATGTCACGGCTGAGGTGAGCTGTTCTTTTGTATGTCACAGTTTACAACCTAGGTAAGGCACTGTCTCACGTGTACAGTTTACAAGATGTGTAAATTGTTCAGTTGTATATGACAGCTTCTTGATAACTTTTAAATGGATTAGCTAGGTTACATTTCTTGATAGCCTTGAGACATGATATGGAAGTTTGTCAGCACACAGGCTGATACATGGTATTCATTATCATTGTGATTATCAAGTGCCTTGCCAGCTGGCGTAGGTGTTCATGCGTCTCCACAGATCTCGGTCTTTGGTGTTGTGGATCAATTCCACTGATGATTTTCCTCCATCCACCATCTGTTGGTCTGCCTATGCCTCTTCTACCAGTGATCTTTTCTAGTGCTCCTTTTCTCAACAAAGACCTTGGTCTCCTTCTCATTGTTGTTAGAAATTGAAAATTGTGGAAAGGTATGAGTTCCTATGTTCTTCTTTGTGGAGCGGAATGCTAGAGAATGACTAAAAAGGATGCACACAAGCTGTCCACCTTGCACTACACATGTCTACATAGTACTATCAAAATTTTCTGGCCAGATACAATCTCAAACACTAAACTACTTCAAGTCACAAACCAAGAAACTTTAGACAGTATGATAACCAAGACAAGATGGAAATGGCTTGGCCACGTTATGAGAATGAATCCTGATAAACCTGCCAAAACAGCTTTCACGTGGACACCAAAGGGAAAGAGAAAACAAGGGCGCCCAAAAACAACATGGAGACGAACGATGGGAAGTGACATGGAAAACTGCACTGAAGATTGCACACGACAGGAAAGCATGGAAAGTCCTCTCTGAAGCCTCATATGCCACTAGGCATAGCGAGAACTGATGAGGATGAGTGCCTATGCCAGTCGACAGTGCACGTGATGATGATGGACTGAAGCATCATGATCGGAAGTAAATTGGTTTTCCACTGCCGATTTAAAAAAAAAAAAAAAAAGGCACACATTTTCCCCTCTAACGAAATGAAAAAACTTAATTTTTGAATAAATAAAAATTGAAAAGACCTTTTTCCACACTTTCACCGTACCTATATTTTTTAGACAAATTGGCATTCGGTGGGTGATGTGATCAGCATTATCCCTGCCACTCTTACATCCCAGGACCTCGCTCTGTGCCCATTCAGGGCTGCATCAACCTGAAAACACGACCATTTTTGGAAACAACGTCTGGTTCCGTCGGGACCTGAACCAACAGCCTTCACATCCGCAGGCGAGCATCTAGCCGCTACACCGCGGCGGCTCCTGAATTAAAATGATAGTTTCAGGGAATGTGTTATTTACCATACAAGCTCAGTCATGGAATAAATTACATTCGTATTTTTCCTAGTTTCAGGAAACAAGTTATTTATTATAGAAGCTCATTCATGGGATAAATTACATTCCTATTTTTCCACTGTACTTACCTTGAAAGAAATTTAGTCGAAAGTATCAGTAAGTGGGCAAAATGTAAAAGCTGCGATATTCAGATGAGAAAGTTTTGATTGCCGACCAGGAAATGCAGCTACAATAAACAACTAATCTTAAAAAAGGGTCAAAACTAAAATCTTAGCCTGAATAGTGGAAAACCATAATTTATGTAAATTCCACAGAGAAAAAAAGTATGTCATCTGTAATGACATGTAATATTTTTCATGAAAATGTACCTACTGTAGTTTCTCATTACACTGTAGTTCATCATTACACTGTAGTTCATCATTACACTGTAATTCATCATTACACTGTAGTTCATCATTACACTGGTTCATCATTACACTGTGGTTCATCATTACACTGTAGTTCATCATTACACTGTGGTTCATCATTACACTAGTTCATCATTATGCTCAAGTTCATCATTGTTCATCATTACACTGTAGCTCACCATGACATTGCAGGTCATCTTTACACTGTATCTCATCATTACATTGTAGCTCACCATTACACTGTAGTTCATCATTGTTCACCATTACACTGTAGCTCACCATGACACTGCAGGTCATCTTTACACTATCTCATCATTACATTGTAGCTCACAATGATACTGCAGGTCATCTTTACACTGTAGTTCATCATTACATTGTAGCTCACTATGACACTGCAGGTCATCTTTACACTGTATCTCATCATTACATTGTAGCTCACTATGACACTGCAGGTCATCTTTACACTGTATCTCATCATTACATTGTAGCTCACTATGACACTGCAGGTCATCTTTACACTGTATCTCATCATTACATTGTAGCTCACTATGACACTGCAGGTCATCTTTACACTGTAGTTCATCATTACATTGTAGCTCACTATGACACTGCAGGTCATCTTTACACTGTATCTCATCATTACATTGTAGCTCACTATGACACTGCAGGTCATCTTTACACTGTATCTCATCATTACATTGTAGCTCACTATGACACTGCAGGTCATCTTTACATTGTATCTCACCATTACATTGTAGCTCACTATGACACTGCAGGTCATCTTTACACTGTAGTTCATCATTACATTGTAGTTCACCATGACACTGCAGGTCATCTTTACACTGTATCTCACTATTACATTGTAGTTCATCATTACATTGTAGCTCATCATTACATTGTAGCACACCATTACATTGTAGCTCACCATTGCATTGTAGTTCACCATTACAATGTAGCTCACCATTGCAGTGTAGTTCACCATTACAATGTAGCTCACCATTACAGTTTAGTTCACCATTACAGTGTAGTTCACCATTGCAGTGTAGCTCACCATTGCAGTGTAATTCACCATTAGACTGTAGTTCATCATTATAGTTTGAATTTGCAGTATAGCTCAGTACAACTCACTTGTATTACAGTAATGACTTGTTACTTGTGTGACACATTTCAGACAACACCACAATGATCTGAGGAAGCACCTTGAGTCCAAACAGCGCCCTACCAGAGAGGAAGGTGATTCACCTCATTTGACAGGCGGCAGCACCAAGGGAAAGTTGAACAAGGAGAACCACAAGAAAGGCTTGAGCTTGGCTGGCAGTGAGTTGTTGCACCAGTCAGATCTGTGTCTGAACGAGATGCATCAGACTGTGGCCAGTCTCCTAATGACCACGGAACATTTGTTGAAATCCTCACACAGTGTAGGCGGTGTTAATGAAGATAGGGCGTAGCTGTGTTACAACAGGTTAGGTTTGCTGAATAGAGAGGTGGAGGAAGGCAGGGAGAGATGATAGTGTGCAGTTTGCCATCATTTGAGGAAAGGGTTTCAAGCATTCATACATTTCTGAAGAGCTCAAGATGTGGAGGAACATTGTCGCACACACCAGCTGACAGAGCACTTAATGAGGATGTTAAAATATTGAATTGTATGGTCTATTTGATTGGCTGCTCTATTGTATGCTTTAATTTTACAGTTGTTTGATTGGCTGCTGTAATGTATACTTGAATTTTATAGCTGTTTGATTGGCTGCTGTAATGTATGCTTTAATTTTACAGCTGTTTGATTGGCTCCTCTAATGTATGCTTTAATTTTACAGCTGTTTGATTGGCTGCTGTAAAGAATGCTTGAATTTTACAGCTGATTGATTGACAGCTCTAATCTGTACATATATTTTATGGCTGTTTGATTGGCTGCTATCATGTGTGCTTGAACTGAACAGCTGTTTGTTTGGTTGATGTAATATGTACTTGCATTTTACGGCTATTTCGTTGGTTGTTAAACATATACCTGAATTTTACAGCTGTAGCTGTGTTATTGAAATGTATACTTGATACACTGAAACATGCCCATTTGTGTGCAATATTGGTCTCTGAAATTAGCGGTCAGGTGCTACCAGAGAGGCCTTGTTTATGTTTGTTGAACCAAATGGTTTGGTGTTCTGGTCAGAATGGAACAAAATCAGCCAGCAATTAGGACGTACTAC